AAGGGAGATTAACTGGTAAACGCGGATCGAGTACCTAGGTCTTCTTATAGAACGTAGGCTCACCTGGAACCCGCACCTGTTAAGCGTGAAGGCGAAGATCCAGGGTCGGGTGGCAAGCCTGTACCCTTTGATCAATAGAAAATCCAAGCTAAGCCTAAAGAATAAAATCACGATCTATAAAACGATGTTCAAGTCTGTCATCATGTACGCTTCAGGCGTTTGGGGACAAGCGGCTCCGACTAACATCTCCATCTTGGAGACCTTACAAAATAAAATTCTACGAATGATTGTGAATGCTCCGTGGTTCGTGCGGAATGAAGCTATCCGCAGAGATTTGAAGCTGCCTTCCATTCAGCAGTCCATCCAGTTAGTCAGGGAAGCTATAGATTACGCTATAGAAGGCCCCGACACTCTGTCGAATGAGACCCCTATGTCCTCCGTTAACAAATGAATAATATCTTCATCCATCCCACCCAGCCAGGTAGGGGTACACCGCGAAGGGCGGTATGGATGTCTGAGGACTTTCATGCCACCATCAAACATCAGTCATGATCTGTTTGCCCTCCTGGCAAACATCAGTTCAAAGGGAAAGGGAGCCAGGCTTCAACCTGACTAAAATCAAGATGGATTTCGGAGACCCAGGACAGAGATATCAACCTGCCTAGGAACCAATGCGACTGTATTTCAAGCAGAAATTTACGCTATTGAATCGTGTGCGGAGAGATTGAAAGAATCCAACCTCATACACAAGTCAATAAAAATATTCTTGGACAGTCAATCGGCGTTGGAAGCTCTTGGCTCCTACCGAGCAACGTCTAAATTAGTAGCAAATTGCCGAAAACGACTCTCTTCGATAGGAAGACTTAACAGATTGTCTCTGGTTTGGATTCCTGGCCATACTGGCCTAGAAAGCAATGAGGCTACTGGCTTGCACCTTCCAAAAAAGGGTGCTGCAGGCAGCTTCATCGGACCAGAACCTGTTATTGACATCGATTTAGAGTTTGCCAAACAAAAATTGAACATCTGGATGGCAAGAAGATTTATGAACTTCTGGCAGAATATTCCAAAATTGGCTCACTCCAAGGCGTTTACTCACCCTTCGAAGCTTGATACCAAACAGTTGTTGGACTACAGTAAAGATGAACTACGATGTCCAGTAGGCCTTCTTACAGGTCAATGAATCATCATATGCAGAGACTCGGACTGTCAGAAGACAGTGCGTGTCGCCTCTGTTTGGAAAATAATGAAAGAGCATAACACATTCGTTTCACTTCGAAATGATGAATTTCTTAAGGTGTATAATTTTTTTGATAACAGGCCTATGTGTGTATTCTCTAGAAAAGATATGGCATCGAAGTCTATTATTCATCTAAATTATGAAATTTGATTCATGTTTAGTTCGAATAGGTAGAGCGAAAGATTTTAAAAATTCAAAAAGTGGAAAAAAGCCGAAGTGATAGTAGAAAAGTTTTTGGAAATTTCGAGTACAGTAGTAGTACATGACAAAAAAAAGCTGCATGATCACAAATTTACTGCGGAGCCAGATTTTGAATAGATTCATTGATAAAAAACATCCGTACGTTCTGGACTTTATTTGTGATATATATTGAGTATCCAACGATTTCACATCTTTGTGCTTTCCCTGTATTATTTCAATACATTCTAATGCAAATGGATACCAGTTCTTCAGTTATTGATACAATATCTCACCTCTTACTTCATACATCATTACAGCGTGCTCCACTTGAACTTTTTCATTGAAATTGTCTTCCGGAGTGCATAATCCAGTAACTGATAGGAAAGAGAACAAGAATCGAAAGTGAGGGTGATAAAGCCGTTATTATAAATCGCACACTCCACTTAATAGGCGAAGCATATTTTGCAACCGCTCATAATTACCTGATACGTTCTTATCTCAGCATTACGAACATTCAGGCGAATAAGTTATGCCTGTTGTCTCCGACAGAAATTCAAATATGTAATTTTCGCATTCGAAGGCGCATACCTCGATAAGAAGGATGATTGTTAACGTTCGTTATCTAACGCCTAGCAAGCTTGAGAGTCATTAAGAAACTTCTGAATGTACTTTTGATTTTGCAGAACGGTATTTTTTGACGTTTGTGAGCATTTTGCCACTATCCAATCTGTTCTTATTCTAATTATTTACATAATACGCTATCGTCACTACTTACTTGTATATTCTTGATATAAATATTCATATGTGGCATGTGTGGCACCAAGGTTACAAGACAAATCATGTCCTCAAAAAGCTTGAACTCTGATGGGGGTATCACAATTCTTCCAGCGAATAATGCCACCGTACTTCTAAAACTACAACGAACTACTAGATCCTTCAAACTACCGCAAACTCAAACGGGACCCAACACATGCCACTGAGACCAATAGTCAGTGTCTCAGGTTCGCCGACCTACCACCTGGCCGAGCATCTGGTCTCCTACGTCGAAGATTCGATAGACTTCGTTGATAAAATTAGGGACCAAACTCTGGAGCCGACACATATTCTGGTCAGCTTCGATGTTGTGTCCTTATTTACCATGTCTCACAGGGACTTTCATCCAATGGAAAGGAAACTTCTATGAGCACCTAGAAATCGTGGCGTTGGGAAATCCACTCAACCCAGTGACAGCCAACTCTTTCATGGGACGTTTTGAAGGGATGAAATAACCATTTTCCTGGTCATCTGAAAGCTCAACGCCCCAGCATCAAGTTCACCATGGAGACTGAACAGGACCAGCACATAGCATTCCCAGATGTACCTACTCACCGAACGATGTAGTGCTAGACTAACCCACAACGTGTACCAAATAATCCACCCACAGGGATAGATACCTGCACGCACTATCAGACCACCATCCCAGTCAAGAGAGAGGAGTCATCTCTACTCTAACTGAACAGGCTGGAAGAATATTTAAACCAGGGAATATAGGAAAAGGAGTGGAACGTCTTTAAATGACGCTCGAATGGATATATTGTATCCTAGATCAACAAAGCCATAAAACTGAAGAGTTCCATGTGTACCGTGGAAGAAAGTTCATATGGTTGCACGAACCTATCTACCATATATCCCTAGGGTCACAGACAGAATTGGAAAACTCTTAGGGAAACACAACATTTGAACGGTTTTCAAACTAACCAAGAAGATCAACGAAGTTTCAGAACGGAACCCACTCTTTTTAATCAAAATTGAATTCGGGATAAGTGGGAATAGGAACCTACAATAAGACTGAAATTATGGTCTCGAATACGATTGGATGAATTGTTTTTTTGTGTTCGATTCCTTTGGCCTAACTTTAAGCTCAGGTGTCGTTGAATGAAAAATAGAGTTAAATTATGTTTTTCCAGGTATTTCACATAAATTCTTCAATAATATTTCAATAATATCCACCTTTGACTGACAGATAGAGGTTGTGATTTTATATGATCATTAATAGGCTTTTGCTGTGCCTTCGCTTTCTTTTTTACTCATAGATTCAATAATTTGTCGTGTTTTCAAGACAACGAAAAACCGAACATTTAACAGACAATGATATCTCACCAATTTAGAGCATGTATTGCCTAATCGACAATTCAAACTGTTGCTGTTCAATGTAAAACACATTGTATATAATCGAGCTTCAACTGTCGTTTTTGGCTGAGACATTTTGAACGATCGATTATTTATAAAATAGTACTCTGTGGCCCCTTCAATTCCTTCGTAGTCATCGACATAAATCTCAAACAAAAGCGGACCAGAAACCAAACCTTGTGATACTCCCAGCTTGGTTATACATATAAATCGCCGTTATTCGTTATTCGCATTTCTCCAAAACCGCCGCTGGTAGAAAGAACGCGAAGAGGACTCTGCTTTTATTGATTTTGCACTCGCTCTCTTTGTGTTTGTTTGAACAGGGCAACGGGGCGCCACGACGCCTCTTGCTATCGGAATCCGACGTCTGTGCGGATGTTTGAGCAGTTACTCTAGAAATACTTACGGTTCTCCTCTCGTCGTCTCGATGGGTGGGATTCAGTTTTTATTTGCGTTGACAGAAGATGAAGATAGAGAGAGTGAAGGAGAGAGAGATAGCCTCTCGTCGAAGAAAAACCTGGGTCTCTAAGCTTCTGGATTGATTTAATGTGGAGAATGAATTCAGATAAAGACATGAGAGACCCATTATCAACAGCTGGGCTATATCGTATACCGTGCACTTATGGAAAGGTATACATCAGAACCACCAATAGATCCATGGGAACAAGACTGAAGGAGCATAAAAGAAACTGCAGACTGGGCCAAACGGACAAGTCGGCTGCGGCGTAGCACGCACTAAGTGAAGGAAAAGACAGGATTCTGTTTGAAAACACAAAACTCATTGCCCCCAACTAGGAAAACCATAGAAGACTAGTAACGAGAGGCAATAGAGATCCACAACAGAAAAAAGGGCTGTGAACCTCAACCGAATATGAAATCCCATTCTAAGAAGTTCAAAAATATCAAACCACCAGGTAGAAAAGAGTCGACGAATGTTATTGACAATATGTTAATCCAGGTACGTGTATTATCACACTCCAGTCCCTGAGTCAAGAGAGTGACACTAGAAACATTTACTCAACTGAACATAAATTTCTTTGGAAGCTAGTGAATTTTCATTAATGAATCACAGCATCATAAGCTGCTTCGTTCTCATCATCACAAATCAGTTTGTCACTCATTTCAGTACTTACCAGAGCATGATAACGGCAAAATACCCAGCAGCTCTATATCGCCCACCCCATGCAAGTCCTTCCTGTCCCACAGTGAAATATTCAGCCACGGTGAGTATCGGAAATGGTAGTCCTCTTACTAAAGCTTCCTTGAAACTACTCCCCATTTGGTAAGAGTCTAGCCACAGGAATCGTTCGTTAAATAACATGTTCGAGTGCTTCCATTTTCTATATATTCCCTCTGACGATTTTCAAATGTAACACACGGTATACGTGGAAGATTCTTTCGATGAATAAAACGATTACCTTAATATTTTCGAACTGAAAGACCCTGAAGGGTCCTCTAGTTTGCTTCCATCACTGGTTTTCTTCTTCTGGTAGCGCTTTCCCCGGCTGTCTTCTATTATGATATGCCTATCGTAAGGTGTATCATAATCGACCTCTAGGATTGTTGAAAAACTGTGAGGATAAATTATCTCAACACCAGTTATTATGACCCCAGCAAAAAGGCAAATTCCACCTGAAAGAAAAAACATTAAAAACATTGTATCAAAATGAAGGCCGTTTTTTAGTTGATCCCACTATCTCGGAAACGGTAAGACCTACAAGGTTGATTGAATTAGACAAACATGAACAATGTACCCACGTCGAACCGCCCGGTCGGTAGTCGGGCGGTTCGACGTGTTCATTCAGTCAATCGGCCGATGTATGAGTCGATGGTTCAAGCCCCAGGCTGAAACTCCTCGATTTTCACTCGCTATCGTCCAACCCGTGTTAGGAATCACACGTCAAAAGGTAAGACCTCGTTAATCCTTAGCACGCACGAGTTTCGACTTCTGAGGGTTGTCGTTCGTAAAGGTGCGATAGCTGGTTAACAGAAAAACCATATTTTTAAAAACATATTTTGAAGAAATAGATCGGAAATATCATTAGTTGTTTTTGAAATATTCGCCTAAAACTAAAATTTTCAAATTTCGGTTTTTGGGTCTACCGCCTCCAATTCGAATGATATTGAAAAAAGCAAAGAAGTACTGTTTCATATTCATTATAATCTGATGTGAAACAAATTGCAATGCGACGTTTCGTTCATCAGATTTCATCATCAACTTTTTCAAATGCACTTTTAGTTTTTTCATCAATTTCTGTAGCCACTGTAATAAGAAATTCAGCTATGTATTACAGTACATATATTTCCCGGCGTTTGTCTCTGAGAAAGCATCATTAAGATTTGTGTCGTCTCAAAAAGGTAAGAACCAATATCTTATTGAAAATCTGCATCTAACGGTGAACGCTCATGCATTCCAAGGTTTTGTATAGATATGGACTAACTGTTTGAAAGCCAATTTTTATGGAATATAAATGTTTGTTTCGGCTGTTTTCAGACAAGTGAAAATAGTGAAAATTTATGAGAGTACTGAAATGAATTGACTTGTTTAACGTGAGGCATGAATTGACAGAATATGTATTGTCAAATTCACTGTTTAGTATTGATAAAATGATATTTATTTGATACAGGATTTATTGAATACCGAAAATTTGAGAACAAAGAAGTATTATTGAGAGAGATTGCACATCATAGTGCTATATCGATTACGTCAGTTCGAAACATTTTGATAATAGATAAATTCAGATCTTACATTGTCAAAATATACACCATTTGCGTTCAACACAATGATAAGAGAAAAATATGCTGTTGATGGCTACTCAGACAACACTGTAAGGATAATTTAATATGTAATAAAAGTTTATGGTTTGATAGGAGTAGATTCACAAATAACCGATGGTTTAACAGAAATATTCATTATCACTGGCAACAAGAAAATTTCTTGCTACATAAAGCCCCATGAGAGTTCTGGGGTTAATGTTTGACTTAGTGTGCTAGAAACTGAGATTATAGGTCCCTACTTCTTTGAGACATTTCTGGCAGTGGAGTTATATTTGGAATTTTTGTCCGAAAATCTAGTTGGCTTGTTGAAAGATTTGCTTTCGAATATTATGAGAATATTATGAGACACTATCACTTTTTTCAACATGCTGCCACATCGCAGAACTGTTTGGAGGGATTTTGTCAATACGATTATACCAGGATGATGTATGGGAAACAATGGTCCTATGTAATGACCACCACGTTCACCTGGCCTTACCCTTCTTGACTTTCATTATGTAGACGAGGTATTCAGCTAACAATTATTTAGCAATATTGGCGAATTGAGAGAAATAATGAAAAAGGCTTGCATGGCTATAAATCCACAAATGCTGGATGAAAATACTATCGCAAGAACGAATATGTGTTTAAAGAACGTTGGGATGCAGCTTAAATATTCAGTTAGATATCGTGAAGGACGTAGAAGGTCAGGAGTATCTGTATCTGTAGAGTAGGGAGGGTGAGTGTAAGCCCACGCACTTAGGCCACATGTGACCCATTGTACATCCTCCCGAGGAGTTGTCCTCCTAGGTTATTGTCCATCCTGTCCTTTCCAGGAAGGTGGACATATCACTTAGAGGCATGTCCTTCATATTGGCAGGTGTAGGCCAAGACTCGCCGAACACACACTCTCTTTGGCAACCTTGAGGTGTCTCACGGTGGCCTCCGCGAAGGTTTTGGAAGGTGCAATGATATTACTGTCGTTGCGTGGCTTCTTCAACCTTCTTGGGGTTCCCTCCGTGGAGGTGCACAAGTGAGGGAGCCGGTTAGGACAGCCGGTTCCTTGCTTTTATTCAAGGCGGAGCTTTTGGCGCCCACCGCAGGAAATGTCCTTGCTGTTGAAGGTGATCTGCTATGTCCAGCCTCATTCCAAGCAGTAGATTAGGGGGAACATTTCTGTTCATAGCCAGCTACCGCCTTAGATTGAGGTGAGAACTTCTGTCCAGTCTCATGTGTGTTCTCACGAGTAGCAAAGGAAGAGTTGGTCACCTCTGGCAGAGTCCATTACCAGAGGTAGGCTGATTACAATGAGGTTTCGCCCAGTTCCCCAAGGGGATCGTTCGTGAACGCATATCACCCTGCGGCCATTCAGTTGTCGGCATGATTCCTTACACCACGGAGGTATGTTTTGCAAAGGCTTTCGTGGGTGTTTAAGTTCCCCTCACCCTACTTATTTCTGCCACTGACCAGGAGTCCGGCGACCCCGTCTGTAAGGTCACATTGGCTTCCCGGACAGGGCCTTCAGTCCCCTGGCTGTTCCCCTTTCCGCCACCTGGGACGCGCCTGATACGTAGCCTAACCCACGGGAAAGGTCAGAAGTATTTTGAAATTGATTTTTTCTTTTGTTCGTTACTTGGTATATTACATGTTTCTCCGATATGTGGAGTTCTAGAGTTCTACACAAAAAAAAATATTGGACCCTTTCAGTGGCTACAAAAATCGATGAAAAAAACTACGAGGTCCGTTTTCAAAAAAAAAATTATGAAATCTAATGAAAGAATCGTCGCATTGTAACTTGGTTCACATCAGATTATAACAACAGTATTGAAAGTTCTTCTTTCTTTCTTATCATTTGAGGCTGTAGAGCCTAGCAAACGAAATTCGACAATTGTAGTTTTCAGCGAATATTTCAAAAAGAACTACTGATACATGTGATGCTCTATTTGGAACCTTTCGTGTAGTAATGAATATTATTGCAGTTTTATCCCAACACCAAACCGTTATTTTAACATCTCGACACGTGTTTCGATCATCTTCAGGAGGAAGATTGAACATTTCACTCTTCATTTCGAAGATGATCACTTGGTGATCAAAATATGTGCCGAGGGGTTGAAATAACGATATTCTCGATCTGAAAAGAGTTAATTCCAGTTCGCCAGGAAAGAAAACTTTGTCCAATCCAAGCAACCCTGTAAGTCTTACCCTTTCCAAAATAGCAATAATGGGATCAGCTAAAAAAACGGCCTGTATTACAGGTTTCAATCGTTAAAAAAACTCACCAGCAATCAGTACCAGCCAGTAGCACCATCCAAATTCAAAATTCAGTTTAGCTCCTTCAACGTGTATGACTAATGGAGTCTCTGGTAACATTCCAAAATATCCACAGACCGTAGCAAGTAGCAAAAACCCACAGACGGTCATTAAAAGCGCTCCGTATCGTGGAACTACTATCAACATCAAGTTCATGAGCAACCAT